TTTAGGGTGTAGGGGTTCAGGGGTTTCGGGTTTAGGGTTGAGGGGCTTAGCGGTTTGCAAGTTTCGAGCTTGGGCTTTCCAGAGCCCAAGAAACCTATAGCAGAATCTAGAAGCCTAAATACTTCCTAATCTTATTCCTTTGGGTTCCTTCTTATACCTATACCAAAAAAGGAGCCCAGAACCTTCTTCTAACTATTGCCACTACAATTCGTATGGTTTTCCTTACATACGGATGATGGTATAAATCCGGCATTACCCACAGTAAGGAACGTACCATAATTTCCATGGTTTAGGGTCCTTAAGCAAAGAGCTTGTGCGGCCAGTGGGGATTAGGGTGTAGGGATTAGGGTTTAGGGTTTAGGGCCTTGTTTTTGTGTTGGATGGGGTTGACGTCTGAGGGTCAGGATCTGCTTTTGAGTTGTCGGAGTTCGAAGGTGCGGGAGAGTTCACGTCGCCAGGCTTGATGTAGGGGTTGGCCTTTAGGTTTCGTGTGTCATCATGTTCTATTTGTAATGACGGGTCATAGGCCTGCACATTTACTTCGATGCAGTTGTCTGTAGGTGTCTTTCTTCGCACGCGATCATCCATCAAGGAAGATGTAGCTTGAAGCCTTCACATCCACAACAATCTCGTGATCTTCAACAAGGCAAGCCCCAGAGGGTCCATATGTACTAGCATTAAGGAATTAGGTCCTAAGAACCATCCCTATTCTATTTTCACAATAGTACATACGAAGCCCCTAAGTTCCCATCATCAGCAGGGATACCACAATACCCAGCCCCAAACCCTGAAACGCTGAAGCCAAACAAACTGGAGGCCGCAATACCCTTCAGGATACTGCATACGAACCCCGACGCTGCAACTCTGAAGCCCTACCCATAGGCTCCATAGCAGTTCCTTTTTGGGATTACCTTATTGGATGCTAAATACAAGCCAGCAAAAGGAACTACTTTGGAGCCTATGGGTAAAGCTAAGAACGCACACTCAAAAAGACCCACCCACCCCCCCACTGCAACAGGCCCTTTGCACACATAATGATGGAATCTCTGTGCTGAAACAGATAAGAAGAACAGCCGAATCATTAGGATCCACCCAACACCCCAAACACTGAACCCTAGACACTAAGCCCTACTGTCGATGATATACATCCTCAGCATTACCTTAAGGTCCCTAAACTATGGGAATTATGGTATATTCCTTATTTTGGGATCTGCAGGATTTGTATCATCAATCGTAGTACCGCAGCGCCCTCATAGAGCTCTCTTGGAACACTGAACCCTATTACACGCTATGTAAGCCCTAGAATCCTGATCTTCAGGATACATCATCGGCGAGCATGGCGACTCCTCCATTCCTGTCTGGTCTTCGGTGCGCGTCGGCGCGCTCCCTCTCCTCGAGCCGGGGGAGGTCCCCTTTCCCTTGACCTGAAAGTAGGGTGTATAGGGTTTAGGGTTCGGGGTTTGCGGTTTAGAGGTTCAGGGTTTAGGGGTTGGGGGGTTTAGGATTTAGAGGTTCAAGTTTAGATAGACTTAGATTGGTATTTTGCGTAAGCTTTTTGGGTTGCATTATCACGGCTTCTTTAGATCTTTACAACGGCCTTATACCAAGTTTATGAGATTTGTGTGAGGCAAGAAGGGTTGTCTTTAAAGGATGAGTCTGTTGTTTTTTTTGCTCGGCCTTGAAGTTCTCTTGTCCTCCTCGAACGGTTTCGGGGTTCCGGGTTTACCCCCGAAAGTCGTTCAAGACCTTGCCCTGAAGGCCCAAGTACAAAATACTATAGCTTTAGGTACCGAAGACTATGCAGAGTATGGAAGATGGAACCTAAAAACCTAACGGTTCATGAGCCAGATATTTCCTTCAACGTTCAAAACGTTGAACATGCATCAGGAGCCCAATGAGACCCTTCAGAAGATCCACAAGAACGTGGTGAACTCCGCCTACGACATCATCAGCCTCAAAGGCCGTGCTTTCGATTTTAGCATAGGAGCCTAATTAATTAGTTCTTCGTTATAGTTGCAGTAGAATATGACATGTTTTCTAGGATCCTTGCTGAGGCCTGATGCTCCTCATTGTGGCTGAAGAACGAAATCTTGTCTTGCTTCAAGGATCCGTTCCAGGATGCGAATTGTAGTATCTCTTCTCGTGGAGAATGCAAGCAACGTTGTCCTTCGCAACACTGAAGAGCATAGAGGGAAGTTGCGGAGCTTCGGGACGGGTTGATTGGAAACAAAGACAAATTTCTGTGAGAAACCTTGTAGATGTCCATAAGGCCGTCGAAAGGGGATAGTTGAGGAATCGGTGGGGGCGGGGACTGGGATTAAGCGGTGTTTGCTTTTTTGGCTCAATCGGCCTCAGTGTCTGATGCTCAATGGGGTGCCCCTAAACCCTAAACCCCTAANNGTCAGGTCCTTCGGATGGCACGACTTGGGAACTGCTTTTGAGGGTCGATGCTTTTTTCAAGGTGATGTACGAGATCAACGTCTAACCCAGTGCCCTAGACGGCAAAATTGCCCAAAAGAAGGCAGAGAGCTTTGAACCCTCTAACATAGGGGCCTGGAGCATTACCAACACTATTTTCGGGGGGGGGGGG